CGGAGGTATCCAGCGGATGCCCTTTGGCGATATGGAAAACAGCGGCCGTCCTTACGGACATCCGTTCAAAATTGGACTTTGGAACGATTATACAGCTGTCTCTTATACACATCTAGATGTGTATAAGAGACAGGCTCATGCCCGTCCAGTCAACCGGTCGCCAAACCGGGTGTGGCATCGGGACCCGGGCGAGGCCCGCAACTAATACAACAGAGGCCACCAATGCAAGAAATGTATCAACAGCGGAACAACGGCAGCCCGGTGGCCAGAAAATGTGGTGTAGGTTGGATTCCCACTTGGGACTCCAGACTGAAAGGTCGTGGCGGTTCAAGGGGGGGGAAAAAGAACAAGAAAGGCGTTTGCTAGGTTTAGAATCTTTAGATTGATGCGGGCTGCGTCTGGTCCTCCTTGCCGATTGCTAGTTTTGTCAGAGGTTTAGATTCCACTCTCCTCTCCGTGATCCCATGGAAAAAGCAATTCTTCACCTGTTCTGCCAATGATTGTTTTCTTGTCCAAGGACTCTGCACTGACTGCGTCAGGCGGGTTTTTAATCTGTATCGATGGCCGCTGCCCGATTTATACTCCGCACCGCTTGCCGTAGGCTAGAACAACATAGACCCATAACCTGCCAGCGGCGATCGGTGCAGACTACTGGGACAAGAGGACACTCCTTGGACGAACAGCCAAAATAGGACAACAAACTGAACAATCATATCACTTGTGGACACCCCCTTCTCCTCCTCCCCCTCGCCCGCCCCCCAAACATGGAACAGCATGACCAGGCCTGATCTGACAATTTCATCCAATCTTGTTTTGTTCAGTAGCGCTAAGGTCAGGACAGGCTGCACATCATTCCAGTAACACACCCCACCACTGCCAGCGGCACTCGCGGTGCAGACTCGCGGGACAAAAAAAAACTCGAGGGACCACGATGCACCGCGATGATTGTTTTCTTTGTCCCGTGAGTCTGCACCGAGTCTGCACCGCGAGTCCCGCAAGTCTGCAGACTCGCGGGACAAAAAACAATCATTGCAAAAACTGCCAAAACAGGACAAACTGAAGAATCATACGGCTCGAGTACACCCCCCCCCCCCCCCCCCCCCCCCCCCTTACCCCCCCTTCACACCAGGAACAGCATGGCAGGCCTGATCTGACAGATTAAGGTCAGGACAAATCCGCATACCGTTCCATTAACACATCCCCCCCCGCCTGACAGGTTTAGTAGTACAGACATAACTGCATAATCTGTCATATCAGGCATAATTTAAGGTCATATTTTAAGGTCCGACGCGACAGGTTTAGTAGTACAGACAGGACAAAACTGCATAATGTGTTCGCGATCACACAGAAGACCTCCATTCTCTCCCACTCACCGATTTCTCGAAGCGATCCCTGTCTGACGACGTGCAGACATCATTTTTACAAATCAGCCTCCGCTCAAACTTCACGACGACTTCTGCTCAAAGAGGTAAAGCATAGCAACAAAGCCCAATGGAACACGTGGCACAATAAGTTTCCCTCTGACGAACCAAACAGCCACCATTTATTTTTCTCCCCTCTTTTTTATTTCTTTTTTTTTTCCCCTCTTCTTTTCTCTCTCTTCTTTTTTTTTTTTTTTTCTGGTTTTCTGGTCCTCAAAGGCTGCTCTTTCCATAAGAGTATTGCATGTACAAAAATAAGCAATAAGCCCCAGAAAAGACTTCAACAATCTGCTTATTTGGATTAGGTTGTGTCATAATTTTGTTCCCCAAAAGGTAAGTTATCATTGGATAAATAAATTGCATTGCTGAAATAGAACCCAAGAAAAAGACTGTAGGGACAGCAAGTGCATGGACAGCAAGCCACCTAGCTGTAAAAATTGGATACAGAGACGGGTCAGCAAGGCCTGAATAAGGGGGGGGGAGTACATATATCACCGCGAATGCATGGCATGGGGAATTGAAGCAAAAGGTCCAAATGAAAGAAAAATAAGAAACAAAAAAAAGCATGGGAGGGAAGATATGACTGAGCCTGGCCGCATATGTCCTTCAGGGCATCCAATGAAATCGTAGCAATACAGACAAAATCAAGAATGGCCCCTGCAAATCAACACCCTGCAAATCAACAAATGGTCCGAATCAAAGAAAAATAAGAAGCAAAAGCATTGGAGGGAAGATATGACTGAGCCTGGCCCACAAACTCCTTATCCACAAACTCCTCATCACCGCACACAAACTGACAGACCCCATTTTCGGTGTTTGCCACAGCTCACGACCCCCCTGTGGTGCCCAGGAACTGGGGCTGGTACTGGGGCTACCGTCTTCCCCCGAACACAACGCACCCTTATTTTGGCTGTATCTGGCCCGAAATATATATTGTATACATTCATTTTTAGGTTGCGTTATGTTCTGGGGAAGACGGTAGGGTTGGGTCAACTCACTCAACCCTATCACCCACAGATCATGAGTCCCCTGTGTACTGGCCCTTGAATTTGGACTGGAACTGGGACTGGGACTGGGACTGGGACTGGGACTGGGACTAGGACTCGGACTGGCACTCGGATTGCAACTGGGACTGTACCACAGACCATGAGCCCCTTGTGGATCCCAGGAACTGGGACTGGGGTTGCAATGGGACTGCAACTCAGGCTACAACTGGGACTGGTGTCCCAGGAACTGGGACTGGCATTGGGACTGGGACTGCAACTGAGGCTACAACTGGGACTAGAACTGCACCAATTCAAACCTGGGAACAAGACTGTATCACTCCTGTGGTTTTCCGAGGTAGAGCACTCGAAGCTCATTCTGCTTTTTGCACATGGCAGAGAGTGTGGGGGTATGATGCCCAGGACACCCAGGCATGGGAAAAATAAATAAACAAATAATTTGGCGGTGGGGGTTGTCTGCGCTTTTCTAGAGGAGTCCAAATCGGGGCTTTTTTTTTTTTTTGAGTGCTGGCTATCAGAGGGGGGGGAAGGGGGGTATAAATTCGTTTTAAACGGGCAAAGCTTCACTGCTAAGGGGGTTTAAGGGGGGGTGCCTTAGTGTGATTTGGTTATTTTCTTCTCTATCTTCTGTTCCGTGAGGAATTCTGATGTGAGCCAAAAGTTGTCTGTATTGCAATTCTACACAATATGTGTTTCCTCAGATTTTTTAAAATTTTTAAACTTTTTATTCTTTTGAGCTGAGGCTGCCCAGGACCCTGCCCGGGGGTCATGCCAGGACGGGCGTCCGGGAGTGTATCTGGGCACAAATTGGGTGCCTGGGCACCAGGAATATATTTGTATTCAGTTTCAATGTATTTGGACCAGTAACAAAAAAGTTGGCAAAAACACCGAATTCGGAGAAAAAATTGGCGAACTCCAAAAGCTACTCCGAATAAGTTTTTTTTCTACTTGAGGCTTTTTTTTTGCCTGTTAGGTTTTTTGATGTTTGTATTCTGAGCCTGCATTGTTTATTCGCAAAATTTTCGACGGCATTGCTTGTGGTGATGCAGCAAAAAACCCCAAATTTTGGGCCTTCCATTTACCATCTTTCGTCTCCAAGAACCTTGCGCCGAGACTTGAGAGTTTAGAAAGGATTCAAACGAGGTGGCAATGGCAACGCCAAAGCTCTATTTGCAGTGGAGCCAGATTGGCTGAAACACTGCCTCCTCCTTCCCTGCCCCCACCCCCCCTCCAAAAAAAAAAATGGACTCTACCTTATTACTGTTTCTAGATACACAGTTTCTAGGACTGGTGTGTATGGCGAACAACTCGGTTAGCGAAACTAATCATGAAAATCCCTCGTGGACAGTCCTCGAGTTTTAGGATTGTCCAGATATGTCTAACAAAACCCTAATGTACGTGGCAATTCCTACGTGACTTAAAATTTGGATTGTATCAGGAGTCAGGAGCATTAAACCACTGCAGTACTTCCTAAAGTCGTGCCCATTAATTAACAAGCCATGATTTTAGGAAATGTGCAGGACACTACAAGAGCGGTGCCCAAATTCATCCGACTAGACACATTTCTACTCTATTTTTTCCCCACGGCGAATAGCTGGGCCAAGTACTGGTGGTTTAACAGATCAGGGTACAGGTTTCACTGGAAAAAAGGATCGGATTAAGCGTCAGAATCTGGATGTGTTTTATGCAGAGATGCAGAAAAGGCAGGGTTTAAGAGATTGTGTGTTCCGTCTAAAGAGATTCTGCATAGTTAATTTTTAGGCGAGTGTCATGATGCAACTGGTCACTTCGGCCACAAGAAGACTAGTGCAAATCTAGTTCGGCGTTTCGGGTGGCCTAGTAGCCTAGACGATGCAAAGAAGTACGTTAAGAATTGTGAAGTCTGTCAGCGGTACTAGCCGCGAACTCCAGCTCCGCTTGTGCTACTCGAGCCCTTGCCCATTCCTGCAGGTCCAGAACAAAGTGTCTCCATGGATTTCATGGATACTCTCATGACCAGCAAGACTGGCAAGCGGCATATCGGGACAAACCCGAACTCCAGCTCCACTTGGGTTACACTCAAGCCCTTGCCCATCCCTGCGGGTCCAGGACAAAGTGTCTCCATGGATTTCATGGACACTCTCGTGACCAGCAAGTCTGGCAAGCGGCATATCTTCGTTATAGTGGACAAATTCACTAAGTACGCTAGACTAATCGCCATGCCTGAGACAGCCAAGACCGAACACGTCATCAAGTTATTTATAGATAACTGGGTGCGTGACTTTGGACTGCCTAAGACCATCGTTAGCGATAGAGATGTCTTCACAAGTGAGATGTGGTGGAAGAAAGCCGCTGAACAGATGGGTACTCAACTTCAAATGACTTCGGGGAATCATCTCGAAGCCAACGGCCAAGCGGAACAGATGAACCGTGCGGTGCAGCACTTGCTGAGGCATTATATAAATGCCCAGCCAGGATGACTAGGATGAGAAACTGCCTCTCATTGCCAGCCTGTACAATTACGATGTACACAGCATCACCGGCGTCAGCCTTAATTAGCTGCATTTGGGGTGGAAGCCTAGTTCTGTACTGGACTTCCTAGACTTCCTCCTTCCTGAAAACCAAACAACTGCAACACCTGGAATCATAGAATTCGGTGCCCAGTATGAGAAGTTGTTGCAGCAGGCTGTCGAACACATCAGGAAATCTAAGGAGGCAATGATTGCCTCTGAGAACAAACACAGACGGCACTCCACATTTCAGGCATGGGAACGTGTCTTGGTAAAGGCTAGTGAACTGGGTCAGGAATTTGGAATCTCTAGAAAGGTAATGCCACCATATTTTGATCCTTGGAAGTCCTGAATACTGTGGGTAGTGATTTGGATGGACCCTCGTATCTCATAAGAATCCCTGGTCATCTGCACACATACCCTGTATTCCACGCTTCCAAGCTCGCACCTTTCGCTGAGACAGACCAGTTCCCATCAAGCAGATCAATGCTGCCCCCAACCATGGATGGCTATGTGGACGTCGACAACATTCTGGAACATAAAAGACTCGTCTGTTCCCAAGCCTGTGGGCAGGGGAAGACCGCCCAAGCCTACGAGAGAGTACCGGGTCAGATTCAGGCATCATACGGATCCAAAAGAAGATCGTTGATTCACAAGAGAGGAGCTCGTCTGAACGGCACCTCAGATCGTGGCTGAGTACGAACGAAGACTGAAGGGGAAAGCACCTGCGTAGAAGCATCTCAGCCGACTTTCGAAGCTAAGGGGGATGGAGTGCGAGAATTGAGCCCTCACGGGGCCCTTACAGACATGCAAGTGTTCTGGGCTGTGGGCCCAGCAAGCATTGTGCCGGCCCTAAGTGAAGGCAGCCTGAATATCCACATGAGGTCTTCTATCGACATTTTTCCATACATGGGGTATCAGACAGTTGCAGCATGCCAGTTGGTTACAAAGCAACGTGACCCTTTCCTGGCTCCTCCAGAAGCAACAGCTGCGCTGCACAGTTGAGCCCACGGCCCCAGTTGGTTGCGCCCTGGGCACACAGTGGGAGGCCGACACATCACCCAGCGGCCACGAACGAATGAGAAAGCAGCTTTGTCGCCACACAACACAGACGAGCCAATGAGAATGCGGCAAACACATTGAGCCTGGACGGCTGCCTGGACATGACCAACCAAAAAGGGCCCAGGCCCGTAACAGCAAAGGTGGGCCTGGGCACAGACACTGGGGCCTGACTGGAAGCTACTGGGAAAAAAAGTCATGGCCATTAACACGCCACAACGACTCTAGGCGGTCGGGGCAGGCTTGGTAGTGCAATGGAGAAGAAGCTGTCGGGCCCATGGAAAAGGGGCAAATCGACTGTAGGCTCTCGCATCATTTATGGCGAGCACTTTCCACATGCATGCACACAGTATAGCCAAGAGAATTTAAAAAAAAAAAAAAAAAAAAAACACGAGGATGTACCTGCCACTTCGCAGGCAAGAAAAACGGCCCTCATGTGGTAGTTACGGGCCTCGCTCCACGACTCTCCAAATATGCAAAACG